ATACTCATGAATGCAAATATTTGCATTGGGCGAATTTACTTTCGATAAATATTTATACCATTGCCGTAAATATTTTCGTTCAACTTACATAAAGTTGAACGTTATCCTATTATTACAGGATATTGATAAAATAAAGGTATGTTTTCTTTGTAATGTTATTACATTTTACACATTTTTTTCAAATACTTATACCTACTGTCTTTGATTTTTAATACAAATAAGTTAAGGATAGATATTTATTAGAGAAAACCGAGTTTTTCTTTCTCAGTTCATTATTTTAAAATAAAGTACTTTAAAGAAATTCTTTCTACTGTGAATTCTTGATATTAGTTACATTATCTATGAAAAATACATTATCGAGTCGGTATAATTTGTCACTGTAGAAATTTTCATAGTAACAGGTTTGTATGAACAGGAGTCGGAAGTATATGCACCCTTAAAATCCCTGCATAAATGGCAGATATAAAACCAAAACAAACAAAGTACTTACAGCCAGACACAAAGGTAGTCATGGTAATAACGAGAGGGCGGACTATCGATCTGTCTACCCGTCTGAAAGGGAGTGCTCCCCTGTTCGCTCCCCTTCAGACGGGTAGACAGATCGATCGAGGTTCGACGGGGAGACCGGGGATGCGCGTGGGATCTACAACATATGTAATGAAATCTAACTATTGTAAATTTTTCATTATTTTTTTCGGATAAAGTAGTAATATTACATTTACGTAAAAAATGCACCTACTCAATAATAAAAAAATCGCCTCTTTGTGTCCAATTCAAACTATTCTTTATTTACACCGTTTTTTAAAGTAATAGTAAGGTATTTTACTTTATTTTTTTAGGTAAATAGTATAATTTACTTAAAAAAATCATATTAACATTCAAGTTGTTTGATCTTAAACATATTTTTTGTAAAGATTTTATTAAATCTAATAAGTATATATAAGTATGTAGTATATTATATAGTATAGTTTCTGATAACATAAGAAATTGTAAGAAACCATAATCTAAACAATATGAAATAGAATTTGAGGCCATATGTTCAAAGGTTATCTATATATTATATATGGCAATGCTAGTGAAGTACTATGTCAGGTCATTCAACATGCTGCTTGCCTTGGAAAGCATTACATTGTAGTTAATTCCTGGCGAATTTATTATATTAACTGACCTGCCATCATGTTCATACATACTAATCATATATCATTAGTACCCCACCACCATATAATTTAGTGTAGGCAGATGCACCATTCTATTATCATTAAGCCATTGTACATTGATATACCTACTCATACCTCTTGTATACTACCAAAATAAAAATATTTTTTTAAAAGTTTTCTTCCTTTATATACTACTACTACACTACATATACTATACTACATATTAATAAGGATCGGATTTTTTTTATAGATTATAATTAAAAGGTGCTCCCACTTGCACTAATGATATACACTGGCAGTGCAGGATGGAGTGGAGGATGAACATGAAGTTACATTATTTAGACATGATCAACCCTGGAGGAGAAATAATTGCAGGATGCAGGTTGACTTGATACTTCACATTATTAACTATCCCTCTGTAAACCCTGACAAGTATATAATATATAAACATAGGCATATTTTAAAGGACTGCAAAGGCTACAATTTATACAACCATTTAATATACTCTGTGGGTCGAAGGACATGTGCTAGTAACATGGACTCCAAACAATTCCTGGAAATCATTGTGATAACTTCCTGGTGATGGGGTACTTGATCTGATTTCATGCGCTTCCTATCCATCTCCAGTGATGACCCGCCATCATTATATCGTTACCACATGCAGGTGCACGATTCCATTATCATCCATTTATTAATATATATTTTTTATATTAGGTAAGTATATTTTTAACAACATATTTAAAAAAATACAATGGTTGGTTTTAATTTTGGTATACAAATATAGCAGATATTGTGACATTAAATTTCTTTAATTAGAGTTGTATTAAAATAATAAATAATTATAAGAGTTGTTTTTTGAGTATAAGAAGATTTATAACAATTAATAAACTGGTATTTTTTTTCTATGGATAATGATGGAACTGTGCACCTTGGGCGAACCCAATAAAATGGTATGATATTGCACATCAAAACAAAATAATAAAAATAGACAGCAATATACGTACCTACAGGTAGAAACCAACTCTGGTAGAATCTTAGGCCGATGGTCAGGGAGAAGTACACTAGAATCAAATCAAAGCTGTAGTTGACTTTTTTGGATATTGGACCATTTTCTATCAGTATATTTGTAAATTCGTCGTCTCCCTGCCAGCAGCTCGCACCCAGCTGCTCGCAGTTGGTGTCAGACACGGCGATCTGCGGCGATCACAATGCGACGTCAAAGCGACTATTACGACTTCGCGACTACTGCTAAAAATCAATAACGAGTTAAACTTTTTTTTTATTATGGCTTGGCATATAGGATATTCGCCAAAGACAAGATAGGGCTACAAGGGCTTCCAATGTGACTAGGTGTAATTTTGGGAACAAATGAACGGATTGTAATGGCCCCGGCTATTTATGTTGCCATTAGCCATTTATTGTAGTCTTTTTATAATGAAATCAGATATTACTTTACAAACTATAAAGTTGCAAAAGTTCAGTAGTAAATTAATATTAGTTTTGGAAAATTTTAAAGATGCTACGGAATACTATAATATCTTAGTTATAAAAATGTCAGGAAAGAGAAATATGATTCGTCTCTGAACCTACCTATAGATTTTTTAGTTTAGTTTAGTTTGCCTATTGTATAATAATAAAATAGAAACCTATATATATAGTTTTAGGCAAGCTGCGATCAGGTACATCTTGCTAGTTTGTCTATTGTAGACACTATCTACAATAGGCCAACTAAACTAAACTAAAAAATCTATAGGTTCAGAGACGAATCATATTATTATAACACAGGGGAACAAACGAGCATGCGGCTCACCTGATGGTAAATGATTACCGCCGCCAATGAGCATCCGCAACACCAGGGGAATTGCAAGTACGTTGTTGGCCTTTTAAAAAGGAATAAGCTCTTTTCTTGAAGGTATCAATATCGTATCGATTCGGAAATACCATTGCTGGAAGGTGACTACACAATGTGGTTGTGCATGGCAAAAAGTAGTATTTTGCGTAAAACTAAATATATAGTTTTACGCAAAATTTTATGGTGTACAGGGTGCCTCTCCTTCCATCTTTGATGTCCAAGCATACATTACCAAGATAGCCACACTGAACTCGTTGAAGTTTTCTGCGGCTAGCCGATCATGACTATACTTAACATAAATTAAATCCACATATTTTTGAGGAGTGGGGGGATTGTTATTAATATGAATTAATGAATTTTTTAATAGTAATATACCAATGTCAGGTTGACCTCTATACTGTTCCCCCCTGAAACCATCAATTTGTCACGATGGACTAACTTACCTGGCCTTACGCTCATATCCTGAACTGGTACTCAGCCAGCGTAACCTGCCCAGGCTGGGGGCATAATCAATTAAAAAATCTCCACATACTACACTAGCACACCTCTATCTTTCACCATATTTTTATTTTCTTTCAACGATTTGGGCCTACCAGAAAACTGTCTGATTAACTTTATCGTATGCGTTTTCCAAGTCCACAGACACCACGGGCTCACAAAAACCTGCAGTTTTTATGATCCCGTCTGTATTTGTCGCATAGCTAGCGCGGTGCAAATATGACATCTATGGTAATTCGGCCTGGCATAAATCCAAACTGTTTTTGGATGATCACAGTCTCTTCACGAAATCGCTTCTCTATCACTTTCTCCTATACTTACATACTGTGAGTTTTCTAGTGAACTATTTGTTAGAAATCACCATTTCCTAAATTTTGGCAGGAGATGGGGGCCCCCCCCCATCTCCTGCCAAAATTTAGGAATAGGATTCTAGGTATTTTTTAGTTTCTGCCCCGCCTCGAAAAAATTAAGATCCGAGCATGCTTCCTGCATATGAGGTAGACATAGAGGTGTAAGTATATTAATAAAATATGATATACGAATGTGTCAAAACATTGTGTGTGGCAAAAACAAACAGTGGCTACAGATTAAATAAAGTATATTTAATGTGTAGCTATAATATAATATAAGAAATTTGACAATTGGATTTTGAGAAAAATAATGGTAGAGATCGTTTTATAACTAAAAATTAAACAAAGGACAATACAATGGCTTTCTACAAAAAAGTAGATAAAGAAAAATTGTAAAAAAGAAAGTTGAATAACTGTAATTTAAATTACCAGTAATTTTATATCGCGCAGCCAACAACTTAACGTCGTTGCCTTGCTAAGATCTACTGATATTCGATTATATATTTTATGAACTTTTGCTGATGGAAACAAAATTAAAATCATCATTTTTTTAAAGAGCATATATTTATTTTGTATAGAATTAGTTCAGTATTTGAAATACCAAGTAAACATATAGGTGAATCTCTAATTATGCGAATTTCTAAGTTAGAATAAATTGCAGTTGATTATTAATAGGTATAATAATGTAATTTAATAAAATGCCTATTGAATAGTTTTAAGGTACCTGCAAACATGTTACTTGTTATTAATTAATACTATATTTACAATACACACAACACTTGGTTAATATAATTTTGTAGTTTAATGTAATTTAATGTTGTATAATGATTAATTAAATAGATTCAGGTAGGAAAGACATGAAACAAGTATTCACTGTTTAATATTTTTTTAATTATATATCAAGTATATTAACATTTGGTTTACATCTTGAATAAGATCTGATAATTTTAGAAACCAAAATACATTTACTTTTAATCATTGCAGTATAGTTGCTATCTAAATATTAATAATTCTACAGAGACAATTTATTGTCTTTACATTTGAATTACTTTAATAAACAAATCAAAAAATCGTAACTATCTACTCTAACAAAACTCTAAAATAATGATCTTGCTACTATGACATTCATGAGTCAATCCCAAAACTACGGTTATTTATACATTATATGTATGTAAATTTAAGAGTTTCAGTATGCAACAGATCATAGTAAGCATACCGAACTTTTATAATTTCCAGAAAATGCTCAATTAGTTTTGAGAAGATCCTGTTCATATCATGCCGCCAGGGCAATCATATAGGCACAAAGAAATCGTTACAATTAATAGTGATACTTTTATAATAATTGTAAATAAAAATAATATATGAATTAACTTAGGGTTCTATAGGAAGATATCTTATTATTAGTAATATCACTGTCATTAGGGTTCCCGAGCTAAATGGCGGATATTGAACCCTAATAATTAAATCATCTGATTCTATATAATTCTTCCCTTGCATGATGTGATTTCGCATTATCCGTCTTGTTTTATTATCGGTGTAGCTTCATAAACACCAATTAAGTTTAATTTCGGCAAGAGAAGATTACAATATGTGACGGTTGTTAAAATTTATGAAATAAATTTTAATTTCAATGTGCCAAACTTTGTTAAAACAGTTTCAGTCTTTTGATACATAACTACTGTATCTGTTCGAATGATATTTATAATGGATACAATTATCCGCTTGTCAAACAAGCTAATAATTTATATTTAATTGTATAGTCGAAATTCTGATAGAATCAACAATGAATCAGTCTTTTCATACAATAACAATTAAATATGTATATTATACGTACATTCAAGGTTCATAAGGAATTTAAAATGTTTACTGTTAGTTATCATTGTAATTTGGAATATCAAACTGACAAGAGTTATTTATTACGAATTACATTACTCATTCGACCTATATTCAGCAAATGTTGTAAAATAGGTCTAAATAAGAATATTATTCATTACAAAGAATGCTGCATTAATGATAAGTGTCACTAAATAGTATACCTTCATGGAACTACATCATAAATAAATAAGTAATTACAATTAAAGTTGTTCTTCCATTAGTTTACTGAGTATTATTTCACATTGCCGAGAAATGTCTTACTAAATGCTATAAAATAACTTGAGATGAAAATAAATTATTAATCATATTAGCTTTACAATTATAGAAAACCTACAGTTTATTGTAATCTATTACAGTCCTTTTACAATCAAAATAATCTCTTCATCTAGAAATAGGTAGTAAAGTATTAGAAAAGATTCGGATAAATTTGAAAATACGAGATACAAAGAAGCTGTAATAATAATATGTGATCACATTTTACGTGTTTATAACGAAAAATGTAATGGAATATAATTAAAAAGTTTCTGTAAATGATTATCTACAAAAATTAGTACAATTGTAAATAACAATTTATTAAAACCAATATTCGCCTCTTTTATCGTTTGGTATATATACATTTACTAACTCTAGAAGATTTTAGGCACTGAAATTCAACGTTATATATGTTATAAAAAGTTAGGAGCACGATCCGTAACATATCATATAGTATCAACGTTATTTTATTATTATTATTATGTTATGTTGATACTATTGGAATATGCTGTTATGGTTTTATATATGTTGAATTAATGTTATATTTCAAACTAAGTCCGATCTTCAAACATAACAAATATTGAATATATTTATTATTTTATCATTGCGGACTTGACACTTCGTTTGTTAGGAACTATTTACAACAATAATAGCAATCACAGAAGTTAGGAAATGATTATCATTAGGAAAGTATGGAACATATGACTTTTGCCATTATTGTAGTAATAATAACAAAATAAATTTGGGATAATTACGGTTGGTAATGTCTACCAAGGAATTGCTGAGGATCGTGTAGTTTTCTTGTAGCTTGGTACACATCGCGCTCCTTATCAGGATACTTAGTAGGCAGATTTGGTGAATGCAGGTTGACTTTAGCAGCATATCTAATAGAAACAGATAACATTAACATAACGTCTCCACAGATATAATATTATTCAGCAACGCATGAAACTTGCATTTGCTAAGACCTTGTCACAGATTAAAAAATATTCTTACAATCGTTGTGATAAGTAATTAAAGGTTGGTATTTATTAATATAATAATAAAATATAATTCCACGTGGCAATACAAATATGGCAATTTTCAAAGAGTGTAAGGACCTTAACAGAATAAAGGTAGAGAAGAACAATTCAGTAATGAATGATATTTAAGGACATTTGTTAATAGATAAACATCACAATCTCACAGCACAGACATACTGACAAGCTTTCGCGTTTATAATATTAGTAAGTAGCAAGATAATATATTTACCTAATACCACCGATATCAATCTCGTAGTGGCCGCTGAGTAAGTAGTCGTTCGTGACGGGCTGGGCAATACCATCCGCATCTATATTCTGCACGAAACCGAGGCATACCTGCAAATATATAAAACTTCCAATTAGTAATTGTTGCGAACAAATATTACGATATCTGGAGTTATACAATTTAACCTGTATGTTAATTCGTATGCTGACTTGCTTGTTACCAATTTAGGCAAAGTTAACCAAATTGTATTGCATTGGTTTTAATTACAGAACAAAGAAGTTTTTTGTTCTGTGGTTTAAATTACTAACAATTCCCTTCTCCCAAAACTGGAGTCTTTATTAGAATTGGAAGGAATTTTTTAGTAATGTACGCAGGGCATGTGCGGGGAGGCGAGGAACGGGTAAGAAAGAGCAAAATATGTACGTTGGCGGCCGATACACTCAACCATATTAGAGGAAGCACGTCGACCGGGCCCACCACGCCGCCACAAGTTTGAACTTTATAGCGAGCATAACTGTTGCAATTTACTCCTCTACGTCATTTATAGTATTTATAGCATAGGCTGTAACAATTACAGTTTTCCCCCATTACAATATTTGATTTACATTATTTAAATTATAACATGTCATAAATAGTGTGTAATACCTGTTTTTTGAAAGTGTACCCATAGCTGGTGGTAGTGGTACGACCGCAGTAATTACCGTCGCGGTATATCGGCTCGCCTCCCCATGACCACATGTCTAGTTCGTGGTCGTGGTCGGTCAGCAATAGTTGCACGTACTGGCGACGCACACCTTCATCCCGTTGCCGCAAGAGGGCGTCCCGACCGATAAATGGTATGTCTTTCTACATAAGAAAAAGGGGAAATTAAATCGCGTAATAAATAGAAAACACGTCATCATCTGCTTCTTCCTTATCCCATTCATTTGTGGTTGGCGCAATATATTTTCCTCTTCCACTCATCGTTGTTCACACTCATGTCGACATTTACTCCCATTCTTGCCATATCATCTTACACACAGTCCATCTCTCTTTTTCGGCCCTCCTCCGCCCTTATCACATCATCATCATCCACATTCTTATGCCATACTTTCTTTGAAATATTCTCTTCATTCTTACGCATTACTTGCCCATACCATGACAGACGATTGCTTTTCATCTTCTCCAAAAGTGAAACTACTTTCATACTTCCTCAAATGTATTCGTTGTTTATCTTTTTTATTGATACAAAACAATAAAGTAAATAAACACAACAAAAACAAACACTTTATCTAAATTGAAATAGCACTGAGAAATAATTTTAAAGTAAGAATTTGTGAACAAAAACATATTTCTACTAATTTCAATTACTCCTATCTATTATGAAAATCTCATGAAAAACCAGTCAATAATCTCGGAGATTATCGCGTACAGACAGATAAAAAACTGATTGGGAGGTATAATTTACATCAAACTTAACCCGCCAAGTGCGCCCGCACTCGAGCGGTGTGGTCTTCGTATCCAAATCTGGTCCCCAGAACGCGAAGAACTTTTCTACACGGAGCGCCCTCGACGCGTAGTACCCCACGTGACTGATGCCATATTTCTCACCTTCGGCCATCAACCGGTTGTACACGTGCAGAGCGAACTGTCAAATAAATGTTTAGTCAATATATTGTTTATCTTCAAGAAAAAAGAATAATAGCAGAAGATAGTGAACAAGAAATAGTTATAATAATAATAACTCTTTGTTGCTCACAGAATAATAAGGAACAATAAAAATGTCTTACAAGAGGCGGTCTTAACGCTTTTAGGAATCTCTTACAAAACAGACAATATTAACATAGAGAAAGGAGGTAGGAGACGGACACTAAACAATTATATTTATTATACACTTATACATGTACATACATTTTATCAAAATAAATAAATATACTTACACAAATACATATATATACTACATATTGTGTGAAAACAAGAGGAAACGTAGATATAATTCAATTACAGAGTAAGATAATGACAGATCAACAATGAACAACATTACAGTACAATAAAAATATTTTACAAAAGGCGGTCTTAACGCTTTTAGCAATCTCTTACAAACCTGGTATTGACAGAGAGATAAGGTAGGAGACGCACACTAGACAATATATTTATAATTTTATAAGCATAAATAAATAAACTTAACACACTGATACATATTATATACATACATATACTACATATTGGATGACAACTAGAGGGTACGATATAATTCAATTACAGGGTGAGATAATGACAAATAAACAAAGAGCAATAAGTATACAATAATAATATTTTACAAAAGGCGGTCTTAACGCTTTTAGCAATCTCTTCCAAACCTGGTATTGACAGAGATTATGTACGTAGAGAAAAGATAGGAGACGCACACTAGAAAATATATTTACTATACACTTATAGATGAACACACATTTCATATTTTTTTTTAACATACATAAATAATCTTACACACTAATACATATTATATACATATATATACTACATATAGGATGAGAACTAGAGGAACATTAGACATAAGTCAATTACAGGGTGAAATAATGACAAATAAACAAGAATAAGTACAGTACAATAAAAATGTTTTACAAAAGGCGGTCTCAACGCTTTTAGCAATCTATTACAAACCTGGTATTGACAGAGAGTACATACGTAGAGACAGAAGGTAGAAGACAATATATTTATTATACACTTATAGACGAACATACATTTTATAAGCATAAATGCATATACTATATAATAAAATAATAATAATCTCAGGACAATTCACACAGCACCATCTAGACTCAAGTTAAGCTAGTTAAAGCATTATGGGTACTAGGGAACTATACAAATACATAGATATTTTTATTTCGTAAATACATAGATACTATAAATAGATAATACATATCAGATACATAAATAAGACATATTGGATGAGAACAAGAGGAAATTTAGATATAATTCAATTACAGGGTGAGTTAATAACAAATAAATAAAGAATAATAAGTATAGTACAATAAAAATGTTTAAAAAAAGGCGGTCTTAACGCTTTTAGTAATCTCTTACAAACCTTGCATCGACTGAGAGCATGTACCTAGAGAGAGAAAAGGTAGGAGATGCACACTAGACAATATAATTATTAGACACTTATAGATGAACATACATGTTATAAATTTTATAAGGATAAATAAATAATCTTATACACTTATACATATTATATAAATACATATATATATATATATATTACATACTGGATGAGAACAATGGGAAATTTAGATCTAATTCAATTACAGAGCAAGATAATGAGAGTTTAGTAATATTTGAAATATATGTTTGATGGGAATGATCGAATGGGAAGTAATTTTATATCTTTGGTAAATACTTAATAATCAAATATTTAGTTTAATTACAATGATATAGGCACAATATTCTTATCTTCTGCTATTTAGAGCCAGTGTCTAATGCACATATAAATAATGATTAATTACTTTAATAAAAAAAATAAAGTTCTAAATTAAAAATATGTACATACTAACCTCGTTAGGTATATACAGCACATAGCCTAACTCCCCAGTGTGCGTCAAGTTCATAGCTCGGATGCCGTTGGCCAATCCAACATCCAACTCCTTAAAAGTGAAGAATGGGAAGTTGGCTGGCGATAAGTCTGTATCGGTGAGTTCGGACATGAGACTCCTGGTGAAGGGCCCCATGACACAGATGGCAGTGTACATGGAGGTCACGTCGGACAGACTAACAGACCCGTCCAACGGCAGGTGGCGTTTCAGCCACACCTTGCACCGCGTCTGCTGAATTGTTGGCGCTATCATCATGTAGCTAAAAATACAATACTGAGCTTTAAAGAGTATTAAATTAAGACTGGCCTCGGTGATCTAGTGGTTTAGCACACAGCTTTATCTCCGATAGTCGCTGGTTCGATTACTAGCAAGGTGCAAACATTTGTATTTGAGTATGACGATTTGTATCATCCAGAATGATATCCAATATGTATTGAATTTATAAAAAAACAAATATTTCAGTATTTATAAAAGTTGTCTAGTACCCTACATAGTTAAGAAAGAAGCACTCCTTATCTCATCTCTCATCCTATTCATTTGGGGTTGGCGTAATTACTATTATTATACAATATTCGAGTGGATACACCGATGTAAATATTATAATATATAAATACAAAATAGACAAAAATATCGACCACTATTCACTATTCACTAAAAATATCCATTAGTGAATAGTGAATAGTGTGTGTGAAGTTTCTTAGTTACGTTCAGTTTTAAGTCTATATTATGTTAGTCGTTTAGTATTTGGATACTGTGATTTATGAATTCAGCGATATTGTACATCAACGTCATAATTAAAATAAGGTAATTAACATATAGAAATATATTTTTATAACCTTTATGTATACTCACTGATTCTCAGATATGCGCGCCAGACTGCAGTCGTTCTCGTAACCTCCCCTTTCGTTTTGCATGCCCGTATGAATGATACTGCCAATTGGTACATCCACGTCGTTGGAGCACAAGTTTTGGAGCAGGTCTACTACTTCTAGATCTTTGGACTGAAAATACACTTTATATTAATAATTATAGAAGAAAAGTTGGATGACATTTGAGTATCGTATTCTAGAGAGTGATGATATGTTTTTTTCTTCTACGTCGATCCATTCGTACATTTATAAGTTTGTTAATTTTTTTTGCGACAATGGAAACACCTGTACATAGTTTCAGAGTTTGATGTTGTATATAATCAAACAATATTATATGTTTAAAGCCAAATCAAATCAAAAATTCATTCATTTAGGACATTTTAGCCGTTTAAAGCAATATATTACTAGTATCCCCAACATCCACTACGGCTAGCTAGTTATTCTTATTTAATACTAGCTGTGGCCGCGGTTTCACCTGCAATATATTTATATCCTATATGCTATTCTGATATATAAGCTATATTACTGTAAAATGTCATCAAAATCCGTTCAGTGGTTTTTGCGTGAAAGAGTAAACAAACATCCATACTTACAAACTTTCACGTTTATAATATTATAAAAATAAGATCTTATTCTTACTATTTATACCTACCTATAAAAGAGGTAATCTTTAATATGAGACAATAACCTAAAAGGGGGATAAAAATAAATGCGAATTGAAAAGCATACCTGTATATCAATCTTGGTGAACGACGAGTAGTCTGACAAGCCGACAGCCTCTCGACACGCCCAGTATTCTCGCTGCACAATATCGAACCAATGTGGTTTGCCAAAGGTCTTGGTGTGGGCAATTTTGAACGGCAGCGGCTTACTAATTGGCTCGTTGTTTTCGCTATCTGTGCAAATACAAATCAATCACTGACAAAAATGGAAAATAAAGACACTTCAACTTTATGAAAACAAAGGGTGGATCTACTACCATACACAGCAAATTGACGAAGGCTATTTATTCAAAACTCAACTATCATATCACCAAAACATTTGGGCATTTTAGTGTACTGATAACCTTGGTCATGAATGTTATTTTTGCATTTACTATTAACATAGAAAACTATGATTCAAATTAATCAAATATAGTTGTTAATAAAACTTAGTTTATAGAAAATAATAGTAATAGAAATATATTAATAATAATAATAAAAAATTCTTACCAATAGTTTCGAACCATGTAGGCCTTTCGTAACCCATTACTTGACTGAACACAGCACCATTGTCTCGTAGTGTTGGATAAATCGGCGATAATCTCAAATTACGACCGGTCTCGAATTCATGGAACGGATACGGTAGACCATAGTGTACACCTGAAAATATTATTAAATTTAAATTAAATTAATAATAAATAATATAAATAGAAAATAGTCAGACCGATACAAACATACTCATAAATATGTACAGTGCGAGGAATCGAACCCGCGACCTTCGAGAGAAAGGCAGTGTGCTAAATTGGTAAAACACCGAGGTAGACATTCATCATGATATTAAAACGTAACACATACCAATTAAAATAAAATTCTGAGTGTATGTTCAAATAAGTAAGTACATTTTGCTATAAAAATATAAACTGACTATCTGCAAAACTATCAGAATAAACCTAATGGATTGTAATAAAACCTTTTCAGTTTCGGAGAGTATGTCGCGTACACATTAAAAACATACCGCATTATTATAAGTACAACTCACTTGGCACTTCCTTGACGCGGTCTCTTAAAAACCTTTTGTTGTTGTGTAGACCCAGAAATCTGTTGATATGCAATTCATACATGTCGTATTTAGTGTAACCGTCGACGATTTCATCAACCGTAGCTTCAGCGACACCCCCGGCGGCCGAGATTCCAACAGTTTTCATACCAGCGGCTACGTGATAATTGGACATCTAGCGAATGTAAAAAAAAAAGAATTATAATAGTATATTACGATATAATCTGACCACCGACGTATGCCGCGCGGCAATCACTTGGACATTTGATAAAAAATTGTACATTTATAATTAACACTTTATATATATGTATATACGCCGACGAGCTGGTGTTGAGTCGTTGATAATGATGATGGTGAAAACAAGGCTGATGCTGATGATCGTGGCTGTGATGATAATGTAGGGAGTGATGATAAGAGTAATGATGGGTGTGATGATTAACTTTCATCATCATCGCCGCCATCATTGTCTCCGTCAGCACCATCATCACCTTCATCAGCACCACCTCCATCATCATATTTTTGGCATGGCAAACTTGACGGCTACCTGAAATAGATAAATGATACCTCTCCCTGGAAACTGATCTAACATCATGCTCTTCCTCTCATCCTTCACTGGTGCCTTCCTACCGTATACCGTTATCGCGGGTGCACCATACTATTAAATTATCACCGAATGAAAAAATATCCCTCAATTCAAATTGTTATCTTGAACCACTCCGTAATGGCTCCGTATGATGTAATTTCACTACTTTATATTCTTGAACCAAAATTAATAATGGCAATTACGCTTCCGTTTAAAAATTAAGTGTGCGCTCAGGGTATCCTCATTAGAAACGAAGTTGCTTACGTAATTTTTACAACTTTTTGTATTGACTAAACAATTCACTTAACCACGTAAAAGGACTTTGCTCCAATAATTTACAATCTGTATAACAAATTTTACATAAACCAATCATTTCATTTACATTCTTTTAAAACATATGACAAAAATACAAAAAATGTTAATACTCGTATATGTTACCTCGAACCAACTCTTCTTATGGATGTTCACATGACCGCGGAGGGCCCGATAGGGCGAATTTAGCTGGATTGGAACAGCAATATTCGCAATATCGAACATTCCGCAATCACTATATAATCTTCAGGATGCACTGTTAATAAATCTTTAGAAATATACATTTATTTACATTATTGCTCTTTTACATGAACAAAAAATATGTTACTAAAAACCGTTATCAATCGTTAACAAAAACTGGGTTATGTTGTTTTCATGAACTGATGATATTGTCGGAAAGTATATAACTAAGCCATTTCATTGATACAATTCCAGTAGCGTTAGGACTACTGAATAATATACTTTTTATTTAATTCAAAACTAAACATTGAACAATTTTGTTAAATATTTATATAAAAGAAATCCGAAAGCATATGCTTTCAAAATATACATACATTTACATGGACAAAGAAATTTCAGTCAGGTTTCAACCTTGAAGTTGCTATATGGAATAATAACATTTTAGGACTATTCACACAGCGCCGTCTAGTTCCAAATTAAGTTTGTTATAGGTACTAGATAACATGTTGCTTTTGTGCTGAACAGCTCAGTGGTACGTAAGCAGTCACTCAGGCAGGCGTAGTTCTATAAAAATTACTAACCTCAGGAGTTTCGCCGACGATCCATTTACAGTCCGGTGAAAACGCTTCGAGACCGTTACATAGTTTGTGTAATACGGCTTGGTTTAGGGCTGGGACGCGCTTCAGAAGCTCTTGCAGGAGCACGTGGAATTGATCCCAGTCTTCAGCCACGCGGCGTTGCTCTGATTTCTGAACTGTACATATTTTTAAATTTAGTCGATTCTACTAAGAAATATATAAGGAAATAGAGCGGTAAATTATATATTATATATAAAAGCTTGTGAAGGTATTAGCCTGTCATTTTAAAACAATACGGTTTTATTTGAAATTTTATGATAAAGGTTTTATTTTGTGATAATTTCCCAAATTATCACAAAATTTACTTTTATAATAATATGCTATTATTATTATAAATGATGTACAATTCACACAGCGCCATCTAGTCGCAAGATTAGTAGAGCTTGTGTTATAGATACAAGATAACTAATAGTAATACTTAAATGTATTTTTATGCGAAAAATAGAAACCGCGTACGTAGGAAGTAAAGCTGTGTGCTAAGGCGCTGAACAACCGAGGAGGAAAAAGATATGGATTATAAATATCAACTCACTTTCTTCTTCATAAACGGGTTTAGCGACTGGTTCAAACCCACCAGCTAAAAGACAGCCGTCCCTTTCGCGTAAATATATGTAGCCGTCAGGGTCCCGAACAACTGCAAAGGACATAAACATTTATGCTATTTCTTTATCACATAATCACCATATGATCAAACAACGCGGCTAGCTGAGGTACGCTACAATTTAGTTGGATTTAGCTCATAATGATTACAATAAGTACAATTGTGCAATATTTTTCACTATTGTACTCTTTTTCATTGCAGCTTTATCATCAAAAATTTTAATTCATACAAACATATCATGTAAATTGAACATATTAATAAAATATCATATCATAAAAAAACAAGTGATAGAAAAACTTAAATGAAATTTTCGTTTCATTATCACTACACGTCAAGGTACGTATGTATAACTATGTAGTAATAGAGAATAGTAAACACCTAATAGTATAGGAGGATAGTAAATACCTGGTGTCATAGGACCCAAACTATCGATGGGCTTAGTATGTAGATAGTAGTGCTCGCAAGGCAATAACGGTACTTTCACTTGCGGTTTTGCAAGCTGCCCCACCTGATGGATAAAAATGTTTAAGAGATATCTAATATATGGAATCACAAAAGAAAAAGCATCATCAAATATATAATTCATGTGACGGCTTCATGTCAAAATTTATTTATACTTATTAGAATTACTACATATACTACATATATATATTCTATATACATAGTATTCAACAATAATTTCTGGTATTTTTCTTTAATTCAATGTTATTTTCTAAATATGGTGGTTTATAAATATAGTTTGGATATTTGTTACTCAAGCTTACATGACTAGACTGATTTGAATGAAAATTAAAATGCAGGGTCATGTTCTAGATCAATAAGGAATAATAATTAATGGAGGAAAAGGTTACAATTTTTAACAAAAAGTTAAAAGTTACAAAAAGTTAGTATTAATATAGCGGTATAAATTACTGCATATCTTACAGCTATTATATCTCAAGAATGTGTGTGTTCTATGCAACAAAATGATTATTAATTTACCTGCCTCGCCCAGAAACCAGCACAGTTAACGAAGTATTGACACTGCAGATATCCCCGAGTGGTCTCCACACCGGACACCTTCCCATCTTTAGACGACACGCCTGTCACTGCACAGTCCTCCATAACTTTTACGCCTAATAAATATAAGAGATATAACATTAACAAGTAAAGTCTAACTGACTTTTCTTTTTATTTACTATTTCCAAGTAAAAAGAATAGTAAATAAGCTGAGCACACATAAAAAGCAATACGGATATGACGGCGAATTACGTTTGACATTTCTAAGAACTAAGTTTTATCTTACAATTTCACGACACTTCAAACTTACATAGCTTACTTTTCATCTGCGTAGTATATTATTATACATTGATACAAGAAAACATTATTACAGAGCAGTGCAGAAATAATGTGGCATTATAAGTACACGCAGGAGAGCCGGTTCAGATTAAAATTCTATATTATACTTCCATTTTATATATTATACTCAGAATCATTTGTAGTAAGAATTAATATTAAATTGTAAATCTTGTCACCATTTACAGCTGCATGTCACGATGGATAAATACTCGACTGACTTTTGACTCTAATACCACATTTTAAGCAACAATAAATTTCAATTCGCTTTGCTTAAGAACACTTAGCTCCACTTCAGTTCAGTTCGTTTCACTTCACTGCAGGTCGCTTCACTTTTGTCGACTTTACTTCAGTTCCGCTTCCGTCAGGTAATACGTTTTACTTACATCATTATATATTTTTTGCATTCTATTGCGTTTAATTTTGTTTCTCTTAAGTTTAGTTTGTTCCATTTCAGTGTAGCTTTCTGCTGATCGTTTCATTTCAATCTAATTCGTTTCAATCCGATTCATATAGTTTTCTTTTAATTTCAGCTCGCTTCATTCATTCTGTTAGCTTCACTTTAATTCAGTTCGATATACTCTGCAAAAAATGTTTTAAAAGAATTGATAATATTTTAAAATCATGTCTAACTGCACCTCTATGGGACATTATATTCCAGATTCATAGGAAACGCCAAAAAATGTAACCAGCTGTATTGCATTATTTAAAAATTTACTTAATTATTTAAAAAGTACATCTACAATAAAGTGTCAATAGTGGTCATATTTATTGAAAGACGAATCATGGTATTTAAATAACTGGAAAAATACGGTATCATTGGACAGGCACTATTATGGCTGGATATGGCTTCTAAGTTCAATGACAATATTAATATATCCATAAATATACATTTTTTTGAAGTTTATAACTGGTTAGAATGACTTAAAATTAATACAATTACTTATATCACATTCTTTAACGCAGTAATCAAAATATACAAGAAGCTGACCACACACATTTTGTAATTAGATAGACAGTGTAATTAAAAATAACATACTGTTGTTAAAAATTAGAAAAAAGAAAGTTATATTTTCAGACGTCCTAAGTATACAGTAGGCGGAAAACAGCTCAAACATACTGATATGTTGCTTCCGTGTTAAGGTATAGTAGAAGCTACAGCCAATTTGTTCAAATCCATAGTCCTGCCAGATGTTATTTAAAGACATAAACTCCGTTCCCTAACTAGATTATAAACAAAGTAGTTTTATTACGAAGACACATTGAAATATTTTTAATCTTAAATTATTATTGAAGCAAATTTATAAAAGTGCAATATTTGAAATAAACAGTTATAATAATATAATAAAAATGCACCATAGATTACCAACTGATAAGAAAATGATAATTAATAGACCTTTCAAAAATGGATTGGTTGTTAGAAAAATGTTCGATAGTTTTATATAATTTATCAATTTTCTGTTTTCACTTCATTTTATATTATTTCAATGCGTTGTTCTTGCTTCATTTCTTTTGATTTCACTTTAGTTGTCTTCGCATCATGTCAGTTCAATTCATCAGTTTATTTAATTTGGTTTAGTTTTATATAGTTACATTTTTACGTTTCACGTTTAATTTAGTACTCATCACATCTGTTCGCTTCAATTCACTTTGGCTTATTTCAATTCAGTATGCTTCGTTTTAATTGATATAAGTTTTCAGTTCAGTTCAGTTATTCATCAGTTCGCTCAAATTGTTTCGGGTACTTCAGTCTATTTTGTTTCACTTCAGTTCATTTACATTCAACGTTGTATTGACATCAGCGAGTATAAAAAATATTTTGAGGTATATATTTGTTTAGTTTCTTGTGCACAATCACTATTACCGAAAGCGCTTAATCGATTTGTTATCACTTTTTTATTCCAGCATGCTTTTCATAATTTATATCTTTGTTTCATCCTATCGCTCAAATCCGAAGTTCTATAAACTACAAATAAATATAATATATAATTTTATAATACATACATATAATTTTCTATATATCGATTTTTTTCTTATATATGCCACAACAAAGGTGAAACTTTCGTTTACTAAAATAATTATCTAAAGCGGTGTTCTAAGGAAAAAAAATTAACATAATTTCAATGTTTAATTAGTATCTATTTGGGTATGAATAATTATTTTCGTGTGAACTTTTTAACGTGTTTTCTTGGATGTATATCGTATAATGATACCATCTACATGTGGAATACTATCGTAGGATGATAGATGAGGACGAAGTTACGTTAATTAGGCTATCACTAGAAATAAACATTGACCACGTGAAGGCTGTCATTGCTTTCAGTGGAGATTAAATCACGTGACTATTTCAAATGTTACCTTCTCGACAAATTGTGAAACAATTATTGACATTAGTATGGGTGCACAACATTCTCAGTATCTAAACTAATCTACAAAACTATCTATACGCAGCACTTTTTGGGAAGCAATAAAAGTACCCTTATACGAAGTGATTAGTGAGTGACAATAACAAATACAAAATTTATTTTAAAAATCTTTTATATTTTCGTGTGGGTTACATGGGAAATAACAATAAGCATAAAAAGAAAGTTATTAGTTATAATAGGTACTTACATATCCTTGCTGCTTATACGTCTAACCTTATATAAGATAATAACCTTAAACCTTATATAAGATTATATTTCAAATACAACAGCAACAAAGTCGCGAGCATAGCTGTTCTATAATATAAAAATAAACTTACCGTTTTCCACGGCTTCCTTTATTAATGACATGCAGAACATGTGGGGGTCACCAACTCCATCTCCTGGTATCCAAAGTCCCCCAAGGATATCATCCACATTCAGCATGGGCCAGATTTCTTGACATCGTTTTGGGGTTACCAGCTCGCATGGTATACCCCATGATCTGTTGAAAAGTTTATAACTTTAAATCAAAATATAATAATTTGAGGTACCAAATCAGTATGGTCTTATAAATTTTATGAATAAAAAAACATTTTTTTATTTCCACAAAATAAAATTGTGGTAACTGCGAATCCATAATAACGCATAGTATGCATATATATAATTATTCATAAAAATTGACTAAAATTTGAGTTTAGATCACATAAAATTTTTATTGATGATTTTTTTTCACACTGGATAATTCACACAATGCCATCAAGTGCCAAAGCTTGAGTTAATGGTACTAGACAACTGCTATAAATACATAAGTACATTTTTTTTTGTAAATATAGAATAAACTATAATAAATTTAGGGTCAGCAACGCGCACATGACACCACTGGCTTTTCGGAGTCCATAGGCTAGGGTAACCCTTTACCATCAGATGGGCCGTATGCTTGTTTGCCACTTACGTGCTATATAAAAAAAGAAACATAGATAACACATAATCATACTCCTGAATACAAATGTTTGCACGGTACGAGGAATCGAACCCGCAACCATCGGAAGCAGTGGGTTAAACCGCTAGACCCCCGAGGCCATGCCTATCTACAGCCTCAATTGTAAGACAGGGGCAGCGTAGTAATACTTCCGGTGCTAAAACAATCTTAATACAAACGTTTGTTGTTGGGATGTTGGGTTGAATTCGTTGGATGTTTGTTACTCTTTCACGCAAAAACTACGGAACGGATTTTGATGAAACTATTCAGCAGTATAGCTAACGCATCAGAATAACACGTAGGCTATATTTTTTATTGAAATTTAACGCAGTTGAAACCGCCGGCACACCTGGTAATATAAATGCGAAATTTTGTGAGTATGGATGTTTGTTACTCTTTCACTCAAAAACTACTGAACAGATTGTGATGAAACATAATACAGTCTATATTTTTTATTTAATTTAATACAGGTGAAACCGCGAGCACTACTTTATGGCCATATAGGTAAGTGCCTCTGGTCTTAACAGTTATTGCAGTGCCTAATTATATCCCTTCTACAAATGCTGCATTCCCTCATTCGCCATAAATCATTCCATATAGTTTTAAACTAAGTCAGGAAGATGCCTGACTTAGTTTAAAAGTTCGGTTTTACAACATCCTTTTATTCTTAACAAGAGCATTTAGTGATGAGTAAATGAAAAATCAATGACTATTAATGAATTACAGATTATTCTAAACCACAAGGCGACGAAACTATTTTTAGGGCTACCGATTTATGACACTAAAATTCTAAAAGTAAAAATTCGTTTATAGGTATTGTGTGTTTGTTACTCTTTCATGAAAGAACTACTGGATGAATTCGAAAGACTGATTCTGTACACATCCTAGATTAACAAATGCTATAGTTTTTAGCCGGATTCATGAGGACAGCTCGACCATTAATATAATAATATCCAACTATATAGATGATAATATATACGTTTACATATATAGATAATTAGTAATAGCAGGATTTCTGTTTACAAACTAAAACTCACACTGATTGACTTTTCATTCTTCTGTAAACTGTCATCCGATCTCGAGTCCGTGCAAGAAGTAAGGACCCACATTGTTTCCAACCCGTTGGTCTGCCCTTAGATTCCAATTCTTTCAGTAGTCGAATAGATGACTGTGCTAGGCGTACTTGAGCAAGTGATGGTTTAAATTCACCAACAAGCCCTGATGAGTACCAACGGCTGCCGCCTCCAACCCTAATGGGAGGTAAATGATGATGATAATAAACAATCGTAAAAAGTTAAAAACGGGAGCAAATATAAAAAGGTTTAATTGTAAATATGGAATTCAAAGAACAACGGTTTAAGCTTTATTTTATTCTGGAAACCAGCGTTTTTATAAGAAAGAAAATATACAATAAGTAATGAAATAAATCATAATACTTCTTCAACCCATTATTATTTAAAAAAACGAGGGCAAAGAGAAATTGGTTTAACTTTTCACTCGAAATTAGATCCTTTAATAATTATCATTATATGATGGAAACATGTTACTTTTGTTTTAGTATTATGGCACATATATCATAATCTAATTTGTAATATACCTAATTATTGGGAGATTGATTTCAAATCCACTTATAGCACTCTTTTCAAATCCGCTCAGTCACACTGATTCCTCTTATTGTCATTATAGTAAACTATGTATAGAGCAGCAAAGACTTCTTCCGTATCAAGCACGTTTTTTATGACTCTGATGATTTTATTGTCCTAATTGTGCCTTAGTCTCTAACAAATTATCACAAAATGAAGCGACACCGACGCGCCTACTATACGAATACGATCCCAACTACAGCGTCCTGCGCACCGAGGTCACCTTACTTTTTATGTATTATGACAATCTAAGAAGGAGTTTGGGACCCTCAAATGTGTAAGTGACTTTACTCTACTAAGTGTTCATATCCATAACATTGTATATTTTAAGGGAACATAGACATCGTCATTTTCAAATGATGACCTTTTTATATCCCTTTTGCTACTGCGTTGTTTTTTATTTCCAGATACTGATCGTGTGCACAAGTCCACGTCGCAGGATAAATGCTAATGCGGGTTGCTCAGCGTTCTAAACACAAAATCACTTCAAATTTTACCATTCCCTCGAAAAAATATAACCAATCAACAAAAGTTAAAATGATTAATTAATCACTAACAATTAAACCAAAAGAGGAATAAACAAAAACGAAAATGTCGCGACTTGACATCCGACATCTTTCAGCTAATGCCACGAGGCTACTAAACCGTCCGATTCTTTACCCTCTATATATACGACCTCCCCACCTTACTTTGAAATCCAGGATAGAAAACAATATCAGTCACCGCATAATATTACCATGCGCACACTGCCATGGAGTTAACGTACGTTCTCTAGGGCACCTAGAACCGGAGCTATGGAGCTTCCGGGATTCTTCAAAAGCTCAACAAAATAATGTAATTTTGAAAAGTGAATATATCTAGAACTAGTAGTCTAATCAAGGAGTGGTTTCTAACACTGGGTAGCACTAGAAGCAGGCACATTGCAGTCTTTATAATATTTTTACTTCTTTACCCCACTCCTACACTATTATTTAGATAAGATTTATAAACACTATACACTAACAGTTAAAATAAAAGATGAACTGAAAAACCGAAAAATCTCGATACGACATGTTTCTACCAACGCCAGGAAGCTACTAATCTGTGAGATTCTCTACCCCTATACGACCTCTCCACTTCACTTTGAAATCCCCGATAGTGATCAATATCAGTTACCGCGCATTTTTAACACGCGCGTACTCCGCTTGCCCGAGTCACGGGGTTAACATACTCTCTCTAGGGCATCCGGAACCAGAACCACAGAGCTCCCAAGATTCTTTGAAAGCCCCACGAAATAATGAAATTTTTAAAGGTGAATATATCTAAATCCAGAAGAGGTTTCCAGTACTGGATAAGAAGGGAACGTAATCATCTTAAATTATTTTCTTACTCCATATAACACCTACATTATTATTTCGAAAATTATTAAAAGCATAGGCTACGGTAACCATTTACCATCAGATGGGCAATATGCCTGTTTGCCCCACATAGGTAGTATAAAAACAAAAATTAAAAAAACTATTCTAACTATACGACATGTTTCAACGAACGACGCGAGGCTACTAATCTGTGAGATTCTCTACCCCTATACCACCTCTCCACTTTACTTTGAAATCCCGAATAGTGATCAATATCAGTCACCGCGCAATTCCAACATGCGCGCAGTGCACTTCCCCGTGTCACGAGGTTGACGTACTTTCTCTAGAGCATCTGGAACCAGAACCACAGAGCTCCCGGGATTCCTCACAAGCTCCAGAAAACAAAGAAATTTTAATAGGTGAATATATCTAGAACTAGTCGTCTTACCAAGGAGAAGTTTCCAACACTGGGTAGCGCTTCGAAGTAGGCACACTAGTCTTTATAATATTTTTCCTTTGTTTACCGCACTCCTATATTATTATTAAAATAAGAATTATAAACACTATACACGAACAGTTAAAACAAAAGATGAACTGAAAAACCGACAATGTCTGGATACATGTTTCAACGAACGCCACGAAGATACTAAACTGTCCGCTTCTCTACCTCTTTATGGCCTCTCCACTTTATTTTGAAATCCCGGATAGTGATCAATATCAGTCACCGCGCAATTCTAACATGCGCGTACTGCGCTTGCCCGAGCCACGGGGTTAACATACGCTCTCTAGGGCACCTAGAACCGGAACTATAGAGCTCCCGGGATTCTTCAAAAGCCACACAAATAATGAAATTCTGAACGGTGAATATATCTAGAACTACTGGTCTTACAAAGGAGAAGTTTTAGACACTGTGTAGCGCTTTGAAGTAGGCACACTGTAGTCTTTCTAATATTTTTCATTTGTTTACCGCACTGCTACATTATTATTTAGATAAGAATTATAAACACTATACACTAACAGTTAAAACAAAAGATGAACTGTAAAACCGACAATGTCTGGATACGACATGTTTCAACGAACGCCACGAAGCTACTAAACTGTCCGCTTCTCTACCTCTATACGGCCTCTCCACTTTACTTTTAAATCCCGGATAGTGATCAATATATGTCACCGCGCAAATCTAACATGCGCGCAGTGCACTTCCCCGTGCCACGAGGTTGACGTACTCTTTCTAGAGCATCTGGAACCAAAACCACAGAGCTCCCGGGATTCTTCAAAAGCTCCATAAAACAAAGAAATTTTGAAAGGTGAATATATCTAGAACTAGTGGTCTTACCAAGGAGCAGTTTCCAACACTGAGTAGCGCTTCGAAATAGGCACACTAGTCTTTATAATATTTTTCCTTTGTTTACCGCACTCCTACATTATTATTAAAATAAGAATTATAAACACTATACACTAACAGTTAAAACAAAAGATGAACTGAAAAACCGACAATGTCTGGATACGACATGTTTCAACGAACGCCACGAAGCTACTAAACTGTCCGCCTCTCTACCTCTTTACGGCCTCTCCACTTTATTTTGAAATCCCGGATAGTGATCAATATCAGTCACCGCGCAATTCTAACATGCGCGTACTGCGCTTGCCCGAGCCACGGGGTTAACGTACGCTCTCTAGGGCACCTAGAACCGGGACTATAGAGCTCCCGGGATTCTTCAAAAGCTTCACAGCACAATGAAATTTTTAAAGGTGAATATATCTAGAAATAGTGGTCTAACCAAGGAGAAGTATCCAACACTGGGTAGCGCCTCGAAGTAGGCACACAGTAGTTTTTATAATATTTTGCTTTTGTTTACCCCAATCGAACATTATTATTTAGATAAGATTTATAAACACTATACACTAATAGACAAAACAAAAGATGAACTAAAAAACCGAAAAATCCCGATACGACATGTTTCAATGAACGCCACGAAGCTACTAATCTGTGAGATTCTCTACCCCTATACGACCTCTCCACTTTAGTTTGAAATCCCGAATAGTACTCAATATCAGTTACCGCGCAATTCTAACATGCGCGTACTGCGCTTGCCCGCACCACGGGGTTAACATACTCTCTCTAGGGCATCTGGAACCAGAACCACAGAGAAGACCAGATTCTTCGAAAGCCCCACGAAACAATGAAATTTTAAAGGTGAATATATCTGAATCCAGAAGAGGTTTTCGATACTGGATAGGAAAGGAACGCAATCATCTTAAAAAATTTCTTCTCATACTGCACACAACACACACATTATTATTTCGAAAATAATTAAAACCATAGGCTACGGTAACCATTTACCATCAGATGGCCCGTATGCCTGTTTGCCACCTACGTATTATAAAAAAAATTAAAAACACTAATCACTAACAGTTAAAACAAAAGATGAACTGAAAAACCGACAATGTCTGTATACGACATGTTTCAACGAACGACGCGAGGCTACTAAATTGTCCTACTCCATACCCCTATACGACCTCTCCACTTTACTTTGAAATTCCGGGTAGTGATCAATATATGTCACCGCGCAATTCTAACATGCGCGCAGTGCACTTCCCCGTGCCACGAGGTTGACGTACTCTTTCTAGAGCATCTGGAACCAGAACCACAGAGCTCCCGGGATTCTTCAAAAGCTCCATAAAATAAAGAAATTTTGAAAGGTGAATATATCTAGAACTAGTGGTCTTACCAAGGAGAAGTTTCCAACACTGAGTAGCGCTTCGAAGTAGGCACACTAGTCTTTATAATATTTTTCCTTTGTTTACCGCACTCCTACATTATTATTAAAATAAGAATTATAAACACTATACACTAACAGTTAAAACAAAAGATGAACTGAAAAACCGACAATGTCTGGATACGACATGTTTCAACGAACGCCACGAAGCTACTAAACTGTCCGCCTCTCTACCTCTTTACGGCCTCTCCACTTTATTTTGAAATCCCGGATAGTGATCAATATCAGTCACCGCGCAATTCTAACATGCGCGTACTGCGCTTGCCCGAGCCACGGGGTTAACGTACGCTCTCTAGGGCACCTAGAACCGGAACTATAGAGCTCCCGGGATTCTTCAAAAGCTTACCAGCACAATGAAATTTTTAAAGGTGAATATATCTAGAAATAGTGGTCTAACCAAGGAGAAGTATCCAACACTGGGTAGCGTCTCGAAGTAGGCACACAGTAGTTTTAATAATATTTTGCTTTTGTTTATCCCAATCCAACATTA